CACTGAGCCCAGCCAAGAGTTCAGTTTTCTATCATCCTGCAATCTGCGAAATATTATCTTACACACGCTTGGGGAGGGGCGCTTTGGGTCTGTTTGCTTGTGTTTTCAGGAAGCAATAGAAGAAATGGGCTGGCAGGAGCCCTGTGCTCTCCCTGCGTGAAGGGGTCAGAGACTCCCTCTGACCTGAGCAAACACCTGGTGTTTTGGACAGGTAGGAGTGAGAGGGCCTTCAGCAGGTGGCTTCCTGCTCATGGGAGCAGGCGGTCCTTAAGAAATTAATCAGAGGCTGAGTGTGGTGGCTCATTCCTGTAATCCCAGCACTTTGAGAGGCCGAGCTGGGCGGATCACAAGGTCAGGAGTTGAAGACCAGCCTGGCCAACATGGTGAAACCCCATCTCTACTAAAAATACAAAAATTAGCTGGCCATGGTGGCATGTGCCTGTAATCCCAGCTCCTCCAGAGGCTGAGGCAGGAGAATTGCTGAGGAAGGACCTTAGAGGTGGAGCTTGCAGTGAGCTGAGATCGCGCCACTGCACTCCAGGCTGGGCTACAGTGCGAGACTCGGTCTCAAAAAAAAAAAAAAAAAAAAGAAATTAATCTGAAAAAGCATGGCCACAGTTTCTTTCACTAAAATAAATACAAGCTCTTGCACCTAAAACTAGCATTCAGTCTATTTCTAAAGGAATGTGACAAGTACTGTACAAGTCACTCAAAATAAGCAGGACGCAGCCCTCTTCTTTACACAGCTTGCTACGGAGTGGGATGACAGGACCTATGGGTCTATGCTGTTAGGGACAATGGAGCTCAGGTCTGAGGACAATTAGGATTCCAAGTCCTATTTCTGGAAATGACATCATCAGTTTGCAGTTTCTTGCACTTTTGATGGCTGACTCAATTTGGAGTCAGGCCTGAGCAGAGGGGTCATTTGGCTTCTTGGATCAGCCTTTACCCTCACTTAGAATCTGCAGCTGCTCACATGGTCACCTTGGGAAGCTCCCGGAGGCCGGGAATGCTGAAAAGAGAGACTCAGACGCCCACCGCTCTCCCAGGGCCGGCCTGAGAGGTCCACACAGAAAGGCCCAGCCTTTCGGTTTGGCTTCTCACAGGAGCTCATTTACCACCAAGGAGCTTTCTGTGGCTGGAGGAAATGAGATTCTTACAGAAACGCCAGCTGGCTGGCGAGCTGAGAGTGCCTGCGGGGGGCTAAGGATTGACCTCCAGGCTACTGTGGCCGAAGCATCCAGGCCCCCAGCTCGCCCCGGCCTGGCCTGTTCAGACCCTCTTCCAGTTCCCCACACATCGTTCCTTGGTCTTCCCACAAAAAATGCAGCCCTATAAACCGCAACGAGCTCGAAAGGTAGGGTCCTATTGCACCTGAAGGGCCTCAAAGCCCCACCCAGGGTGCCTGTCAGTCACACTCAGACACTGGCTCATAAGGAGTGGGCTGGCCCAGAGAACAGCCCAGGTCACTGGAAAGAAGTGTGAATTGAAAACCAGTCAGTGCTCCAGAAATCTGAATGAGACAGAAGGTGGAAGATGAGTTGCAGGTGGGCCACGCTCCTCGTGAAGAGACGTTAAGCTGTGCAAAGGGGACAGGGAGGACTCCCACCTTAGAGACTGTCCTGGCACACAGAGCAGTCTGGCTCAGATGGCCATGCTGATGGCAGAACCTCGTGACCAAAACAAGGTTATCTTCCCAGCCGCGCCATCCCCAGCTCATGCCGAGAAGGTCACGTGCTACAGCAGAGCCCAGCAACTGCCTTTGGGGCCTGTGGCCGCCGTGTGCGCGTCTCGTGTGTCTGGGGCCCCAGCTCCAGTGGGCGTAGGCGACAAGAGAGTCACAGGCCCGTGGCTGGGGACAGAGGCCTCCTGGGGTCTGCATGAGGCAGCACCTCTCCAGTTCAGGAAAGCTGTTTTAGCCCAAGGGGGTGAGGGGTGTAGAGTTGGCTTTTAGTATTGTTTTTAATATTAATGAAGTCAGAGACAGATGAGCTTTGTACAGAAGGAGCAGGGTTGCATAAAGTCACTCACTGATGGAACACTGCCTGTCCACTCTGCTCCAGGTGTGGGGCCTGCCCCTGCCAGAGAGACCCCCAGGAGCCTCCCTCGGTCCTTATCCTCAGCAAGTTCATTATAGAGTGGGGAGGACCAGCATTGTTGCAGCGCACAGGGTGCAAGCCTTGGGGACAGCTGTACGGCAGCCTCCTGGGAGGCCCCAGGCTGAGGGATTTGCAGGCACACTCCCATCCTCCCAGTTAATCCCCAGCTTTCAGGCTGCTCGTTGTCAACTTCATTTGATAAATGAAAAAATCTGCAGCTTGGGGAGGAGACACAGGCTGTCCAGGGCCACACAGCAGGCACCACCGAGGCATGCTGGGGGTCTCAAGGACCTGGGGAGGAGCTCCTGGGTATGCTCCAGGGATCCAGGGATTCAAGGAAGACGTGACCGTGTAGATGACACTGTAACAAATCTTAAAGAATAAGGTGACCAAGGGGTGGAGAAACGGAGGGACATTCTTCTCCAGTGAGACAATGTGCAAAGTCAGGAAAGTGACAGCAGAGTATCTGGTGCCTTCAGGAGTGGGGACAAAAGCTACAGGGACCAGACAACAGAGGCAGGCATGCCACCCACCCAGGGGTCCTGAAAAAGCCCAGGCAGGCCACCCTGGGGGCCATAGGAAGCCCAGACATGCTACCCCAGGGGACCAGGGAAGTCCAGGTGTGCCACCCCCCCAGGGGTCCTGAAGAAGCCCAGGCATGCCACCCTGGGGGGGCCACAGGAAGCCCAGGCAGGCCACCCTGGGGGGTGCATGGGAAGTCCAGGCGGACCATCCCAGAGGCCATAAGAAGCCCACATGTGCCACCCTGGGAGGCTAGTCCCCAATGAGGCCAAGCAGGGACATGACAGGGACGGATGAGCACAAGAGAAAGATCCCTGAGGAAGTGCAGGAGGAAAGGATGGAGAGGGAGGGGGAAGCCAGAGACCCAGAGGCCACCAAAATGCACCAAGAAAGAAGGCAAGGTGGCCCTGACCCGCCAGCTTCCCACAGAGGCACTTGCTGTCCACAAGCAGGGAGTCAGAGCGGCCAGCAAATGCCCCCTCATGAAGCGCCACAACTCCACACCACAACCGCAAAATGACAAGTACTTGCCCAGCCCCAGAAGGCCAGAGCACCACTTCGCATCTACACGGATCTGTTCTTTCCTATCCAGCCACTTCTGAGAAACTGGGAGGATGCTGCTTTGTCCTGGCTAATTTTCTACCCTTTCACTTCCCCTTTCTCTCAGTTTGTGGCAAAAATAACCTCACCGCTCAAATTTTTTGGAAATAAATTTTTTTTTAAAGCCTAGGATCCCACCACACTAAACACTTCATATCCTAAATCGTTTCAGCTCTGCTGGATTTCACAAAGCCTGACGCTGGTGTGCAAGCTCGGTGAGCGGGGAGGCTCTGTGCACGGGTGGATGGCCAGGCCCGGCAGGTGGCATGCGCTCAACAAGTGGGCCGTGGGTGCACATGGGCAGGCAGCTAGCGTGCAAACGCCCCTGCCGTCTCTGCAGTCACCAGACGTGGCAGAAGCCTCTCCCTCGGCCTCGGTCCCCTCGTCATAGTCACCGTCCTCAGTGCTCCCCTCTGTCAGCATGCCACAGTTTCCTTTCCCAACCTGGGGAAATCTAGGTCACTTCTTTCTTATTCTTTTCATTTTAATTTTCTATTATAAATGATGCCTCCTTTCTGGGCTGACGAGAAACCCAGAATACCTACAGGAAAAGTGGCACAGTTTTGATTACTTACATGAGGAAAGTTAAAAGACAAGCCACAGACTTGGAGAAAAGAGTTGCAAAATACATAACAGCCAATGGGTTACTATCCTTTACATGGAAGGAGCTTGTAAAAATCAATAAGAAGATGTTAAAATGGAAAAAAGGGCAAAGAACACAAACTCACTGTCGAGGCAGCGGGTAATAGACACAAGCAACATCTTGTCTCGCTTATAAACACAGAAATGAAAATCAAAACAAGATCCTTCCCTCCCTACACTGGAAAAAATAAACAAGACTAAGTCTCTCTTATTTTGTTGAAAGTGTGGTGAAAGGATCCTCTCGTGTGATGATCGTGGGAGTATAATAAATCGGTCTAACCAATTTGGAGGGCAATTTGGCAAAATTAAAAAAAAAAAACGTAGATATGCTTTTACCAGCACACAAAGGTATAAAAAACACACTTTTGACCAGGCACAGTGGCTCACGCCTGTAATCCCAGCACTTTGGGAGGCCAAGGCAGGCGGATCACCTAAGGTCAAGAGTTCAAGACCAGCCTGAACAACATGGTGAAAATCCGTCCCTACTAAAAATACATAAATTAGCTGGGCATGGTGGCAGATACCTATAATCCCAGCTACTCGGGAGGCTGAGGCAGGAGAATCACTTGAACCCGGGAGGTGAGGGTTGCAGTGAGCCGAGATGGCGCCATTGCACTCCAACCTGGGCAACAGAGCGAGACTCCGTCTCAAAAACAAAAAAAAACACTTTTACCCATAAATCTTACTTCCAAAAATCAACTCCAAAGAGCAGCAACACAACCAACAAAGGATATGGATGTGGGTGTTTGTTCACACTGTTTACAACAACAACATATTGGGAAAATCCAAACGCCCATAACACCAGAAGCTGGCCAGGAGTCAGAAGCACACGGGCGTCAGGGGTCTGCTGGTCCATGGTAAGAAGGGACGGGTCTCCATTTTCTTTTTCTTTTTTTTTTTTTTTTTTTTTTTTTTTGAGATGGAGTTTCACTCTTGCTGCCCAGGCTGGAGTGCAATGGCACGATCTTGGCTCACTGCAACCTCTACCTCCCGGGTTCAAGAGATTCTCCTGCCTCAGCCTCTCGAGTAGCTGGGACTACAGGTGCCTGCCACCACACCCAGCTAATTTTTGTATTTTGAGTAGAGATGGGGTTTCACCATGTTGACCAGGATGGTCTCAATCTCTTGACCTCATGATCCGCCCGCCTCAGCCTCCCAAAGTGCTGGGATTACAGGCATGAGCCACCACACCTGGCCTCCATTTTCTCTACTAGAAGAGGGACTTTGCCTTTTCTACCACATTGTTTGAAATATTTACAGCTAGTAATAATTTTGCAATTACCAAGACCATAAAAAGAAACAGGTGGAGAGTATGTAAATCAAATACTACTACGACGGACACGGAAGTGAGATCTTTGTGCCAGCGTCTTCTCCTTTCACACGAAGGTCAAGGGCAGACCATCTGCCTGTCTGTTTATTGATCCCATCTTGTCTGTCTCCCCAGAGAATGACAGCTTCCTCAGGTCAAAGTCACCCCCTTCCTCTGATTCTTGGTGCATCCCGCCCAGTGGTCATCCTGGAGAGCTCGTCGTGGTAGGTTCATTATACACGTACAAGACAGGTTGATTCCTCTTGGTGTTCAGTGGTGCACCTTTCAGAAGGTAAAGCTCTTACCTCTGCCCCTCTGGTTTATTTTAATTCTCTCCCATAAGGTTTCCAGGGTCCAGAGGGCTTAAACTCCTTTTCACAAGCCCTGCCCGGTGCCTGGTCTACAGCAAGCAGGTGCTAAATACATTTTGCTTGTTTGATAAATTGATTTTTCCCCAACCCCGTGTACCATCCCCAGCTCAGAAGAGGTGGTGGAGGAAGTGACTGGAGTCTTTTCAGAATAGTTACGAGAAATGCTGGTTAGACGCAAGAGAGAAAAGGCAGATGACGCCCACGGGCACTGGTTCAGTAGCTGCCACTGACCATGGCTCTGACCTGCCAGGCCAGAATGGCTGCTGGGAGCACGTGCTGGGAGCTGCTGGCTGTGGTAGGACACACCGCCTGGACAACTTCTTCTGCCTCTGGGAACCCCCTTTAGACTTTTCCGGAGTGCTCGGACTTTGCTTCCCAGGATTCCAATCTCATGGGAGGGTGCTCACTCTTCAAGGACAGGCCAGACCCTTCCCTTCTCCTCATGTGGCTTTGCTTGGCCCTTTCTTGCTGGAGACAGCGAGCTGGCCTGGGACCTGGAGACCAGCAACCAGCTCCTCACTCCGTGGTCTTAGCCCTTCTTCCAGGCTCAGCTCCTCTGATTTTCAACTTGGCTCTGATGCCCTAATTTGAAACTCCCCTTTGGTGTGATTTTTTTGGGAATTAAAGAGCTCTGCATGCAGGAATGAGCCTGCGTGCACCCTGGAAGGTACCAGAAGAAGGTGCAGTCTGGGCAGAGGGTGGAGGCAGAGGCTGGACCCACTCAGCTCTTGGGAGCCCTGGGGCTTGGCACCTCCAGAATCTCCTCCATCTCCAGCCTCCTTCTCCCACACGGGCAGAATCTCACACTCTGTCTGAAGTTTTCAGACAATTGGAAACGTCGCTCGTGCATATGTGAACTCAGTCACCACATTCCCCAAAGAACCAAGGCCTGAGCTGAGGAGGTATTCGACCACACCCAGGGTCCCCAGCCTCGTCCCCAGTCAGGGTCCCCAGCCTTGTCCCGGGTCTGGTCCCCACTCAGGGTCCCCCAGGGTCCCCAGCCTGGTCCCTGGCCTGGTCCCCACCCAGGGTCCCCCGCCTGGTCCGTGGCCTGCCTGGCAGAGGCAGGAGGTTTCCTTCATTTTTACCTTGATTCAGAGGAACCGACATTGGCAGCATTCCTGGCAGCCGGGCCAAGAGCAGGGATGCAGGTTTAGGATACCAGGAGCCCCTGGGGCTGATGTGGGGGGCATGGAGCAGGCGCCACTTCTGGAAACTTCCCCACCAAGGCTGTCCAGGACCAAGGAACATGACTGCAGGCAGAGCCGGGGGAAGGAGGGCAGAGAAGAGGCACAACGTCCGCCTAGGAAACAGGCACAAATGAAGACCCCACAACCTCCAACTTGGATGCAGAGTCAACTATTCCTCACCACCTGCACAAGTGAGGTCTGTGTGTCCACCTGGCCAGCCCAGGACACCCAATAGCTGCGGACGTGCTGTCTTCGGGGGAGTCTGCGAGGGGCCTCTGGATGAGACCAGCGTTTGCAGTGGTGGACTGTGGCAAGCAGATGCCTCCCCGTGTGCATGGGACCATGTAACCCCTCGAAGGCCTGAAGAGAACAAGAAGGCAGGAGAAGGAGGAATTGCCTCTTTCTTCCTGCCTGCCTGCTTTGGGCTGCGGACATTGGCCCTTTCCTGCCCGGGACTGGGTCCCCACATCGTCCCGGCTGAGGCACTGAGCATTCTTGCCCTGGGGACTGGGTCCAACACCATCAGCTTCCCGGCTTGGGACCTGGCCTTCTCCTGCCCTGGGGACTAGGCTGGGTCAAACACCGTATCAGCTACCCGGCTGGGGTACACTGTGCTTCTCCTGACCTAGGACTGAGGTCAACACTCAGGCTCCCGGCTGGGACACCTGGCCTTCTCCTGCCCTGGGACTGGCGTCAACACCGTCAGCTCCCGGCTGGGACCACTGGCCTTCTCCTGCCTGGACGACTAGGTGCCCCACCGTTTCAGCTCACCGCTGGGACACTGGCTTCTGCCCGGGACTGAGTGCCCACCGTCAGCTCCCGGCTGGGACACTGGCCTTCGCCCGGGGACTGGGTGCCCACCGTCAGCTCCCGGCTGGGACACTGGCCTTCTGCCCTGGGACTGGGTGCCCACCGTCAGCTCCTTGGGTGTCAGGCCCTCAGGCTCACACTGGAGCCACACCACCAGATTTCCTGGGGCTCCGGCTTGCAGGCAGCAGCTGGCAGGACTTCTCAGCCTCCGTCCTCATGTGAGCCAACTCCTCACTATTGATCTGCTTCTCTGAAGGACCCCAACACACCTGACCGTGGTTCAAGCCCTATCACGCTTTGCAAAGCTGGCTGCAGCTGCTGCTCACTGGCCTCACTGCCCGGCCCCTTCCATGCACCCTCCTCCAGAAGCCAAGAGGAACCTGTGAAAACCCGCGTCAGACCACAGCCCTCTGCACTGCCTTCTGCAAGGCATGCCGTGGAGGAAGAGTGAGCTCAGGTCATTCGTGTGACCACGTGGGGCTGCCCCGTCACCTCTCTGACCTCACAGCCCACTCCGGTACCCCAGAGCCCACTCCCTCCCTCCGCTCTGGCCACGCAGCCTCCTGCATGAGGCGGCTTCTGCGCCAGAGGTCCCTCCCTCTGACACACACAGGCTTCTTGCTCCTAATGCCCATGAGGTCCTTCCTCCTACGTGACCTTTTGCCTGGCCACTTTCTCTAAAATTCCAACTCCTCCACACTGCACGTTCTATCTCCCCTTCCCCGCAGGATTTTTCTTTTTTAGAGATAGGGTCTCACTGTGGATTTTTCTTCTTTGCCCTAATTTTTATGCAACACCCTACACATTCTATTTATTTATACTATCGTGTCTGTCTCCCCCAGAGAATGCCAGCTTCTCTGGCCAGGGATCTCTGCTTATTCTGTTCACTACTGAATCCCCAGCGCCCAGAACAGCACCTAACACACAGGAATGAGATTGTTGATGAATGGAAGACCGCACTGCTCCATGGGGATCTGGGAGAGGAAAGGGTTCCTCTCTGGGCAGCTGCTGCAGCCCCATCGATCCAGTTTCTATACAGCAGTCCAGTCCAGCTCCTAAGAGTGCAAAATAATGATAGATGCGATTATTCTTCTGAGCACAGAATCAGTCAGGCAGTGTTAGGGCCAGCCTGCACTGGCGCTGGATGCACACAGAGTCTTCTGAGACCGGGGAACTGCCCTGCAGAACCACCCCCCATGGGTGGCCACTCGTCCTTCTGGGGCTCTTGGAGGAAATGGTTACAGAAGACTAGGCCAGATGACAATAAGGGATGGAGAATAACTAAGTGGCAAGCCAACGAGCCATCTGCTAAGAACTCCATGCCAGGCGGCACACGCGGCCCCAACAGCACAGTCTCTGGATTAGCCCAAATAGCGCCGGAACATTTGACAACAAATTGAACTACTAGTAATAGTGCTCACTTCAATGAGCTCGGGACACAGTATCCCCATGGCAAGTCAGGTGTCCCACTGTAACCACCCAGCTGGGCCCCCCCACCCCAAAGGCCTCCAGGCTGTCCCCTTCTCACCCCTGTCACTTGAAAAGCACAGCTCATGGTGCCCAAGCTCTGACACAGACTCCACTGGAGCTGTGGGCAGGGGGTGCCAGGCTAAAGAGTTCCAAGCTGTTGTTCTTTGGGAGCACGCCCCCCGCCATGAAAGCCGGTGGGAGACATAAAGTGACACAGGATGGACTGGCCAAAGGCTGAGGGCAACCACTTACCTCACAGGACGATGCCACTCCCACAGACAGGCAGGGAGCCCTCACCTTCCGCAGGACCCCAGCTGCCACCAGGGCTCCAGGTGGCCCTGGGGGTGTCTGTAAAGCCTGTGACCATCCACCAGGTGGAGACCAGGCTGGCCAGGGAAGGGAGAGGAAGTGACCACTGGCCCTGGCACTGGCTGGCCGGCTCCAGCAGGCCCCAGCGGGGAAGGAGGAGCCTGTGTGCACCAGACTCTCTCAACAAGCAGCACTCAGACACTCAACAGATGGAAAGCGGTGGCTTGGAACTCACTTCCAACGAAACAATAGCACATGCTCCGGCTGGCTTTGATACTTGCTTCCAAAGGCGACATGCACCCAGGGCCAGGACCACGGCACCTGAGCCTCCTCCCCCAGCCACCAACCCCATTCCCACTGGAGGAGCCCAGGAGAACTGGGGGCTGCCAAGGCAGCCCCTTCTGTGCTCTGCAGATCCAGGGGATGCCCACAGCCCCCTTCCCCTCCCGCCTTTCCCACACTCTGTAGCAATTCACACAAGGGGGTAGGGGACGAACATGCAGAACCCAGCAGATAGCTTGTGGCGGGGTAATCCTCGGTCCGGCCCCATACAGGACAGAAATAAAATCGCCATTTCAGCTCTGGGCGCAGCTGGAGGAGGCTTGGGAAAGCAGTGGGTGAACAAGAAGGAACTTTTCCCGTTTTCTATTCAAATGAAATGAGGGCGGCGGTCGCAGCGAGGACAGAGGAGCGAGGGGAGTTTTCCCGGCGGGGCTGCGGGGTCCACAGCGCCGTTGCCTCGCTCAGCCCAGCGCTGGCTTAGGAGTGACGGACCGCAGACTCCACTGGAGCTGTGGGCAGGGGGTGCCAGGCTAAAGAGTTCCAAGCTGTTGTTCTTTGGGAGGACCGTGGTTCAAGCCCTATCACGCTTTGCAAAGCTGGCTGCAGCTGCTGCTCACTGGCCTCACTGCCCGGCCCCTTCCATGCACCCTCCTCCAG